TTTTAACTATTTTCTCTTCTTTCTTAGACATGCTTAACACAATATTTCACTTCAAATGATGGAAACTTTTAAAATTCCCAACTTAAGAACTCAAATCTTTTTCTATTATGTTAAATAAGTTTTATACTAAATAAAAGTATGTTATGACAAAACAATAGTGCAAGAAAGGTAAATTTTATAAATTTAATTAAAATATTTTAATGACCATATGAGATATTTTTGAAAATTTTTATACATTAAGTTAGCAAAATAAAAACACGTTCAAAAATTTTAAGGTTGGAGTTTAAAACTGTATGATTACTATAAACTATAAGTAACTTCATTTATTTAATTACTATAAGTAATTAAATAAATGAAGTAAGAAATTTTCACTACAAATACTAAAATCTTCCTGCAGTATTCCTTTTCAATGTTTTAATACATAATTTAGTGCACCCCCCCCCACTTTAAAATAAATAAGTAAACAAAAAGAAATCAAACTATTGTGCTTTCCGAATGTATTGTAGATATATCAAGCAAACCTATTACACGTGGTATGGATCATGAATACTAAAAGTAGCAATACCCATGGATTTTTAGTTCTACCGAGCAAAATGGAAAAGCTAATGTTTCAGTGCCCTGCACTTAAGCAAGCAAAATATACAATTTTAAACGGTATATGACATCTTACTGTAAATAATTATCTGGGCTATAGAAGGGTCAACTAACTAAATTATTTTAAAAGTTATAAATTCTTTTTGTTGAAAAAATCACTAATTTGGCAGCATTTCCCCCCCTTGATGAAAGTGATCAAAATCAATGCCTTATTTCCGTTTTTTGTGAATTTTTATAAGCCCAGATAATGCAGCATTGAAGTAAATTTCTAAATGTTATAAAATTAAAGCACAAACGCTTTTATTTTTCTCAAAACTGTGGCTATTCTCAATATTGACGTTTCGTGAAATTTAAAGGAAGACGTCAGAATAAACATAGACGACGCTGACTAAGGATAAACTAAACTTGACCTAATGATTATGACTAACTGTTGCAAACTCACACCAGTTATGAAAATAGTATAATATTCACAAAAATCCATAATTTCAATTTCTTTGTGTATCCAAGCAGAAAAACAATTTCATTTTAAATGTATTTTGGATAAATGTTTTATTTGTACATTTCTTCAAATGTCTCATCCAATCTAAAGTCCGTTGTTTCTAAAATAAGCCTGAAATAAGTGTATTTTTTAATTATTTTTCAAATTCATGTTTTTAATTTCTAGTTAGCTTGATATACATACCGATTATATCATTGTTCTTTTGTTTAAAAAAATTTAATCCAACTCATACGATAAATATAATTTTATAACTCTCTTGTTTTAGAATGCTCTGTTGCTTAAAAGATATTTCACTCGAACAAGTGAGATATACAGAAGCTATTCCAACTCTCTAGAAACTACCGCGTGTCTGTCTCTATCTCCATATCCATTCTTTTCCAACTTTTATTTCACGAACATTTTCCAGAAACAAAGCCAGTTTTTAGAATAAAAACCCAGTTTTCTTTTTTTCTCCTTTGCAAAACTTTTTTTTCCCCTCCAGATTACGTGACCGTGCAAATCTTTGGAATCTCACCAGTTGCTGGATATCTTCGACATTTTTTTTTGTCCTTTCTTCCGCTTTTCTTCGAATTATTCTACTGGTTTTTTCTGTTAATGGTGTCTTTCCCACTCAGGCTTGCGAATTAACGGACACTTTCTGGGACAGGCGATGGCCCGAACAAAAAGACAAGCCTTTTCCTCCAACATCAACGAGATAATCAAAGAAGAACTAAGGGGAGAAGAAAAAAAAAGAACAGAAATACCAGAAAGACGCAGAAAAAAAAATCGCATACCGGAAGATTTCCGCTTTTCTCCCTTCCATTGTTCTGCCTAACTTCTTGCCGTTACAGATCTTTAAGCGTGTATGAGACTTAACCACATTTATTTCTCTCTTTGTCACTGTTCTGTTGTTAGTGAATTAGTAAAAGTAAAAGTTACTAACTATGTCGCCATTAGAAACAATTCTTTTGGGACTATTACATTCCTTTATACGGCTTTCTCATTGTCTGGTGTAGAATTCAACACATTATTTCATCTTCTCTGGAGACGATACCTTGCGTGTTTCTCAAAAAAGCATAGAAATTCAGCCGGACTAAAATAACTCATTCATGTATGGTTTTTATGCGGTACCTAAATGTTATGAAGTTTCAGACGCAATATAAAACACTGATTCAATTACTATGGTTAAAAAAATCAATGTTTTTATATAATTTATAAATACGTGTATATCCTTTATGTATTTTAGAGTGTTTAAAACTATAAACTTGTTTAAGATTGCCAAAATAGTTTACTAAGTTCCCAAATCTAAATCAACCATACAGTTATACTTCTTGTGGTTTATTTTGATTGACACAATAAACTTTACTGGTTTATTGCGTTTATTGCATTATCCCTACAACACAGAAGTTTTACAATTCAATTATTATTATTTTTTTAAAGATTGAATAAAGGCATGCATAAACCTTTACAAAAAATAATTTTTTATCCTTAATTGCAAACATTCTTAAGCTTTTGGACTTTTTTTTCTATATAATGGTTCTAAAACAAAACAGTTTTTTTTAATGTTGGTGTGTAGAATTTTCAGATTCAATCTCGATATAAAAGGGTTGCTTATACGAACTCAATGCAAAACTCATTGCGTTCAAACTAACATAGTTAAATTTAACATTGTCCCTCGCTTGCGTGATTTATTTGACAATCATTTATAAATCTTGTTGGGGTTTTGTGTTAAATGTTGCTGCGATACAGAAATCTACTTTACAATGTTATCCAGGAGGAACCAAATTATCGTACTTTTTTAAATTTGAATTCTCAGTACACTTGGGCAATTTAGATGATTACATGGTTTAATTTGACAGGTTAGTAAGTTGTAGCATATTTGCAGCATATTACACTTCAATATACAATATTATGTTTAAACGTAATTCCAATTTTACTGAAAGAGTGTTAAGGCGGAATAAAATTTCGATTTCTTACTACTCTGGAACTTAAGAGGAGTCTAATTAATTATTTTTCATTTCTTTGACTCATATATTCAAGAAGTTTTGTTCAAAAATAATGAAATTGTACAAATATAAGTTCAACATCAAACCAGAATATGGCTTTGTATTCATTATCCATTTGTTGCAACCTTCTATAAAGATTCAGACTTGCAACCTTCTAGATATTCTAGATTCTAGAAGAAAGTCTATATATGAAATATGCATGTTTTTTTAAAAAAATAAATATATATATAATACTATTCTTTGATTAAATATGTCTCAAAAATTCAAATTTACCTAATCAAATAAATAAACCGAAATCCTTTGCCTTCCAATTAGAAGCATCTAAAATAAACTTTAGCAAAACTCGAACGAAAATCCCTTCAATAATTTTATTCCTAAATTAAAACAAAGCAATCGACTTGAGGAAGATTAAATTAGAAATGACCTCCCTTCCCCACATAAAACTACCTTTCCAATATTATTTCTCTTTATTAATATTTCTTACGGTACCTTACTCATTTTTAACTTCATTTTTATGCTCGCACAACTATAAAATGAAAAGCGACGTTAGCTCAAACCAGTTTCCCTACTCGACGAATAACGAAATATCGATTTTCTTATTTAATTACATTGATGATGTTCCTCCATAAATAACAGCAGCCAAGAGAGCACTTATAATAGTATTCTAAAAATTAATCCTGACAGCATTGTCGGTTATAAGTTGAAAATTAGCCAAAGTATTCAGATAAAATTTCTGGAAGCAATATTACAAATAAACAGTTGTTATTTGATATAAGTTAGTAATGTGAAAAATTATGATGTTTACCTTTAATAAGAAGAAACAGTTTTATTCGAATCCATTAGAAGGTTTCTAAGATAATTGTTTATTTCGTCATAAATACTTAGCTATTTTCTAAGATTCTGAAAATGTTTTGTATTTATGTGTTGGGTTAAATTAATTCTGATTTTTATTCGGTGAAATAGAGCATTTGTTTTTATATTTTTATCCACATATTTTAAACGTAACAAGTACTGAACTGGAAAATTACTTATAAAACAATACGAAATAAATTAACTGCAACAATAATAAGTAGGCGTCTTGCAACATTAGACTTAAGAATCCAATTTATAAACCTTTTATGTTGCGTAATTTTCAGAGTAGTTTAATATTTTTACGAGAAGTTCATAATCATGCACATTATTTTAAGCAGAAAAGGAACATTTATAAAATTTTATTTCTTTTATCCATATAGTTTAAATTCATATTTAAAACCTTTTTCTTTTTTTAAAAAAAAGGTAATTTTTTAAGTTTATAAAAGAGAATTCTTATAGCTTCGATAAAGAATTGCTCATGAAATGATAAACTTTCTAATAAATATTTTTCTTATGAAGGTACGTTTTATGTTATACATAATACTTGTCAGCTTCAGAGATCAGCAAGTCCTCCTTTTCAAGTCAGATATCAATAATTTAAGGATTTAATATTGCACCGTAAAAATTTGGACTAAATATAAGCATTAATTAATACCGCACAAGTGAGAGTAAATTTAATTTGTGCCTCTTACATGTTTACTCCTTCTGATCTTGATCGTCGTTCGGGGGCATTTTCTTAGGTTTGACGAAAATGGGTTTCGTGGTAAATCTGTTATTGAAATGCCCAGTGTAACATATGATAAGCAGTTGAAAAAAATATATACTTTGCTCAATGACGCTTTTGATAGATGTTTAAATAAATTAGAAACTTTGCTTAAAATCTAACAGGGCATTATTTTCTTCAATTTTCCATAAGTTATTCTAGTCCACGTATTTATTTCTACATTCATTTTAATATATATTCGCATTCTATTGTGTAAGCCTAAATAAATAATCTGTACACAATTACATTACTGAAGTACAATTTAACTAACAACGTTGTTAAAATAAAAGCATATATTTTAATGCAGTTTTTCTTTTTTTCTTACAGCGTCAATCCTTTACACAGCTGTTGTGAAAGGAAAAGTGGCCTTGCCTTGCGATATATCACCTCCTTCAGCAGATGATGGCGTCGCCCTTATTTTATGGTACAAGGACGAAGCCCCTTCACCCATATACACGCTAGATGCGCGTCAAGGGACATTGGAGCAAGCCCGTCAATCAGCCGTTTCCACATTGGACCATCGTGCCTATTTTAATATGATCAACAGGCCTGCCTTTCTGCAGCTGGACCCCGTTCAGGAAGAAGACGCGGGGGAGTACAGATGTAGAGTGGATTTCCATAAAGCCAGGACAGTCAATACCGTGATTACACTAAAGGTTATAGGTGAGTTCCTTTCAATGGATCTGTTATTGGATTCCATTCCATGTGACATCATCTCTCCGTCATGTAGCACCAGTCCTTCATACATTAATATTCTGAATCAATTAGAGTTATAAAGGTATTCCTGAGTACATATCCTTATCAATTAGGAGTAAAATGTAGAATGTCCAGTAAGTAGATAATTTTATCAGTTAATGACAGGAATACGTCGCGAGAATAAAGCTGAATTTCGAAAATAAATCACAATTTATGTATGCTACTGAAAGTACATATTTTCAGTAAGGTGATGTCTAAGTTTGAAAAATATTGAGTAAGAAAATATTAAAAGAGTTTGAATGCGAAGGATTGATTTCTAAACCTTAATTAAATGATTATATATACAATTTATTACATACTTATATAATTGAATTTCCGTCATTAAACAATCATGTCTGACAGTTAAATAGTATATTCGTAATATTTTATCTATCAAGGTAAATTTTTAACTTATGGTAAAAAATCACTTACTAAACAAACTGTTCGAAGTGAACTAATATAAATAAATGTAACATAAACCTATGTTATTAGAGAAAGTACCAAACCAATACGTTTCAACCACATATAAAATAAAATAAAAGATGTAAAAATAAACGGGCTTGATTGCATTATCACTTCTTCATATGGCATCAACTCTTGAAATAAATGCATTAATGTACATACACCAATATCTATAATTCAATTGCTTATTTTCAAATGATGTAATTTAGTTAGCAACATCAGACGTTTACTTAACATTTCGAATCATTTTAGACATGTTTCTATATTTCGTGCTTGTGTTATCCGGGTTCACTAATTAAGTAGCACAACAATTTGAAATCAATTAATAAACAAAATGTCCTATGTTATATTATGGTTTGTTAAAAATTCATGAAAACGGTTCAGATTAGAGCGACAATTTTTGCAGCTTATTTATTTGACAAGTTATTAACTGTAATTCCCAGATTTCCACCTTTAGAAAAAAACATTCTCAACAGATGGCGCTGCAAATAGTGATCCTGAAAATCAAGAAAAAAGAATTAAAAATCCTATCACAGTTTCGGTTAGAATCATGATCACATTAAGATACATTCATGATTTTAAAATGTCCACCGTCAGTCACAAATATATTTTTTTAAATTTTTATACATCTAACGCAATGGTGAAAAATAACATACAGGTCCATGTGAATGAAATTGTTTTGTATCTAAACTAGAAATTCAAAGAAAAAGTTATGCTTTCTTGATATATTGATTTATTTTCTTATTATTTTTCTTTTTCTTTAACTGTTATTATTTTTCTCTTATAACATTTTGAAAGCCAATAGATTAAATTAGGACACTCGAAATACTGAATTAAATCGCAAACAAAGAGAAATCACCAAAATTTATTGTTTCAATTATGCTTAAATTAAGTTATTCGCATTTAAATATAAGACTAAATAAATAAAGTTTGCCAATAGTATTACTATTTGATACTAAAATAAAGTATCAAAGTAAGGCGTGTTTTATTTTACTTTTCAATTTCGAGTTTAAACAAAGCGATGAAAAGTTTATTTTTGACTCGAAAGCATTGATTCCCCATAATTTCGAAAAAAAAAAACAAATACTGGAAACATACCGAAAATGTAAAATCTTTTTATCTCAAAGTAAAACTCACCTTGCTAAATTAATTGATTTAAGCTTTCCCTTGTGGTCACGCCAAATGTTCTTAATTAAACGCTTTCCTAAACCATTGACTATAAAAGAGGAAGATTTAATTAATTTCACCAGTTTGGAGAATTTTCAACGCTTCATTAAACATCAAATAATGAAGAGGAATCCTGGTAAATAGGTAACTATTTTCAAAAAGTGAAAAGCCATTGTAGACAATAGAATTTAAGTAAAATATTAAAAATGGAGTTAAATGTTATGGCAACTTATCAACTCAAAGGGTTTACCATATTTGGGAAAATATAATTATTAAGAGTTTTGATTTAAATAAATGTTTTTTAAAAATTATTTGGTTAAATTTTGTTGAAAATAAAATAAAAAAAAAATACCATAAAATCTCCTGGAATTTATTCTTATTCAGTGAGACGTCTTTGTAGAGAGTTTTTTTCTTCTTCTTAAACGTAAGCATATTTTCTTACACGCATGCATTCAAATATAATTATTAAGATTCCGTTATATTAAAATAATTAGACGATATTTTAAAGTAAGAAAACCTCTCAGTAAGGATAATAATAACTTTTCTACTGCTAACTTGAACGTTTATTTAAAATCTGTCCAATGTAAAAAAATATTTGATTGCTGCGATATTCTTAGGTATACAGTACATTTTTTTTTGTTTCAGAATGAATGCCGTAAGAGATGTTTTCCTTAAGTTTTTATAATGCAATGTAATTTTCTGTTTGAGAATGCAATTTTATTAAAATAAATTATACTTCCACGATTATCTTTTACACAAAAGTATATTTAACCATTAAATATCTTTCAGACAGTATTGGTAACTTTCGACACCATTACAAGGAGAAACAAGTTCTTGTAAAATTTCCGTATTGTTTCGTAAAAATATTTCTGGTAAAATCGATAGTTATGGATAGTAAAATAATAACTGAAATATACGGTATTTAAACAATTTATTTGAAAATTTTTGAAAATTTGAAAATTTGAGGTGCATATGGTAATAGTTTACCAGAAATTCTGCTTTTAATATTATAGTTCTTACTATCCGATATTTAGTAAAAATTATGAAGTTTGAAAATAAATTAATTTAACTACCTCAAATCGTTTTGTTGACATAATAAATCTAAGGTATCACGTTAAAATCTCCAGATTCTATCATATTTACAAAATTTTATCACATGCTATAAAAAATATATTTTATTGTTAATTTTGCCCAAATTATTCGCAAAATGTTTTTTTTTCTTTTAAATTACCGAGATTTTCGGCTCGCCAATAGAGCCGGAAACATGCTAAAAATCACCATATCCTGTTAGTTTTGACTATACTTTTTCCTCACTGTAGTTTCCTTATAATCTTCTATTTTTTAAATTAAATGGCTACTGTGTCCGTTCTTACTTACATTCTTATATTTGAACTAACCGAACTATTTAATTGAGGAAGAAAAATCATCATCCTTCGTCTAAGTAAATTTTTAAAATAATTGGATATTGCGTTTCCACCGAAAGCAAGTTTTCATGCATTATTTAGTCTTCGTTACGTCTCTGTTTCCGTGTAATGTGGATAATAGAATAGACAAAGTTAAATAATATTGTTTACTATAAGGTTCACTATTAATTAAAAATGTCTCTTTTTTAAGGCAGAAAATTTTCAGACTGCTTTGTACATTATCCATTATAGGCTGTGAGTTAACTATAATTAGAGTTTGTGCTTTGCTTAATCTTTTCTATACCGAAAAAAAAGTATTGTCAAAACTTATGAGGAGTATTGTATAATTTTCTTTATTTCTGGGTCTATGGAAACACAAAAAATCTCCGTAATTTTTATCGAAATGCTTTAGTAATGATTTTATAAAAATTAGCTGTAAAACATGGTTTGATAATATGTGAAAAAAAAAATGAAAAATGTGGTGAAAGGTGGTAATTTTTTCTAAATGCGCATTTAAGTGTGACTTAAAAACCATTCATTTGATTAAATTTGCCTTTCAGTTTTGTATTCTGTGCTAAATATGTGGGAATCAGAACTATAACTTTGGAAAACCAGAATTTCCATTAAACTGTTATCATATGAATTTAAAAATTATTAAATGAATCGCTTATCTATCGTATTTTTTATATTTTTCGCAGAAATGTAGTACTAAACTGTACGATAATTTTAACAGAATTTTTTTCTCCATGTAGATTCTCTTTATAAATGAAGAATGTAATTAAAAAAAACAACAGTCCATGGTGCTTCCACTTGAAACTTGAATTTAATTTTTTTATTTAAGAAATAACAAGAAACAGTTAAGTGAAAGAATTTTTATTAGGGATTAAATCAACGAAATGTGCATCCTCAAATATGATTGGAAGTTGTGTACCCTGAATCATTCCCGGCGGTTTGAGTGTTGAGTTGAAATCTGACATTATTGACTTAATTATCTAAAGAGAATAAATAATTAAAAACTCTAGCTCAAAGATCATATAATTAATGGCCAGTTTATCGTAAAAGTAAAGAAATCTACCAATTCTTAATAAATGTTCAATTTGTATGAGGCATAATAGAAAACGAAAATTTTCAATTTTACTGCAGCTCAAATATTCCCTCTTTGGCTATTTTTTTAAGAAATATAACAGTAAAGCTGTAGCAGATTCTAGCATCGCTTCTTATTTTTTACTCTACAGTGTAAAATTATTTTTAAATTTGAAACTAGCTGAAAAATCTTTAGAAAGTGAAAATCATAATTTAGAAAACAATTACGAGTAACCGTCAAGTCAACTGCTAAGTTTAAGTTATGTTTATTTCATTTAGGTCATCAACCTGATTTTGAGATATTTTTAAACACAAAACTACTAAAATATAAGCCTTGGATAAAACATATGTTTCGAAAATGTAAAAAAAAAGTTTAACATGATACCATTTTTCAAACAATCTTATTTCATTTTGAAAGAAACTATTTTTTCAGTATCTGCGAAGCATATAAATAAAAGATACATTTGCAACACGATTTGTTTTATTTTTACTTTTCCCTACATTAAAATGAATCGATTTCTTAAAACATCATGAAAACTATTACATAAAAGAAATTTTGATACCAACTAGAATAAAATAAAAAGAAAATCGGCTGAAACTCCATGAACATAACTTTTATTTATAAATAATATGCAGCTTTGTTCTTCTTGTGATAGAGGAAAATTACAATATCGTTAAAATATTGTAAGCAAAACAGGCTGCGCTCAATTATGCAAAAAAATAAAGCTCGACTGGCGTAAAAAAATTTAAAAAAAAGTTAGTTGCAAAGTTAAAAAATCAACTATTGAATTTTTCTGACAGAAAACAACAACA